ACTTTGTTGTACAACAATGAAAGCAATACGGAAGGGGCAGTGTTGTGGTCCCAGTGTTGTTAGTTACTGTTGCTAGGGAGGTATCCCACGCGCGGGAAAAAAACGTGAAAGAAAAGATATATATCGTGATAGGGTCAGGTAGATTAAACAACACCGTTTCACACATAATGTATCGGGCTGTCCAGGTGCCGAACCGTCCTGGCGGCTGGGTGCCGAACTATTCTGGGCCAGGTGCCGAACTGTCCTGGCGGCTGGGTGCCGAACTATTCTGGGCCAGGTGTACCGAGCCATTCTGGGCCAGGTGCCGAACCGTCGTAGTAGGTGCCGAAGTGTGCAGGTGCCGAAGTGTCCAGGTGCCGATTCTGCCGAAATGTCCGGATACCAACTCAGAGTAGGTAATAATAAACATGTGACGAATACTCTTCAGGACTAGATGTAAACTCACGTTTGTCCGTTTGATACCAATATGAATTTTGTTTCGGGTTGTTGTTCCAGCAGGGACAAATGTTGTTTTTCCTGTGGGGACGATTATGCGGTATTTACAAACTCTTCCATTTACAGACATAGAAAAAGAGTAAATAATATTTTTACGGAACTACATAGTTTTTTTTTTTTCTCTTCATTTTTCTCCGATTGAAAAAAGGTGGTATCCTTTCACATGAGGTTGTTCCTTTGTTGCTGGCTGCAAGTTTTACAATATGTAAGGTGACCGTAATGATGATGAATTGGCCCCTTAAGATATTTTTTAAGTGACGACGCTGCCCTTTGTCGGTCCTTAATTGGTCTTCCATAATTGGAGATAATACCTCTCCTTTGTCTCTGATTGCATCTGCCTGAGGGTAAGAATGATTATAATAATGCTTCATGATTGTCCCTTCTAATCACACAGTGCCATGTTGTCTTTCCAGGTGGCTCTCTCAAGCCACTCCTCTTTGGGTGTGTCACAACCTTTCCAGTCATGTTGATCAACTTAATAAAGAGATCTGCTCTTGGATATTCGGACTAAGTATTTTAGGGTTATATAGTTTTTAAAAGTCGCTTATAAACGTTCAACTCTAAACACACACTGCTCCAAACTCGGACTCCTGTGTTTTAAAAGACTCTTACAAGAACAGAAAGGACCAGAACTAACGGACCGTGACGGGCTATACACGAGCTTCCATCTGATTTTGTCACACCTTGTATGTGTAAAGATTTGTGTATATTTATAGAGCTATTAGGGTTTCAACCACCAATATCTTTCTACTTCCGCGGACTCGGTCGTTTATTCAGTGGTTATAGGAACCGACCATGAATCATGAATTATTTACTCGGTTTATCCAGTACAACCGATAATGTGTAGAACAAAGAAGGGTTACCTTTAGCTTATGTTTACTTTCTCGTTTGCTCGTTTTACATTGTACAAAGTCCAAAAGCTTACATAATGAACCAACAATTGACTTTACGTATCTACTTTAAGCCTAGGTCACAACCCGCTGTGCGTGCTTTTTGTCCGTACGTTTTATTGGGAGGCCACGTCTGCTACGTTTTTCTGAAAACGTGGGGAAGGAGTGGCGTCTACGCGCGTCACTCGCACGGTTTCGCAAGGTTCAAGAGTGTGGTCTGCACGCCACGTCTGGCCGTGAATGGTTGCGTGCATCGTTCTTTGCGCATGTGGCGAGTTGTATGTGCTTACAACGCACGATCTCTGTGCGATTGCATCCGTACTCACACGTGCTTCTTACGTACTGTACGTAGCATACGTGCATACTCGCACGCACGGGTGGTGGTGAATCCGCAGACCGCACGCAGAAAAAAAGTTTTACATGCACTTAAAGTTCTACGGCGTGTCTGCGTGCTCCCAAATCCGTAGGATTCCGTACGGAGGCGGTACGTTTTCCCACGTTTTTTTTTTCACGTAGACAGCATGCAGCACCTACGGCGGGTTGTGACCGAGGCTTTACGTATGAGTCGCTAATTCTTTGCAGCTAGAGAACCCCGTGTAAAACTACAGTTAAATCAATGTTCATATAAAATTTTTGGGGGTGCTTCAGACGGGACGAATATGTTTTGTTTCTACATTAGGACTATTGTGAACAGACAACTGTTGTAGATCAATTAAGGTTCGTCCATAATTGCCTCTTGCATAATTGTGGTGCACGAAGGATCCTTAAT